TTCAAGTCTGGCATCCATGGGTGCTTCCTCCTCCTCCTCTTCTTCCTCTCTTTCTCCTTCTTCTTTTAGTTGCAGATGGACACAATACCTTTATTTTATTTATTTTTATGTGGTATTTAACCCAGTGCCTCACATGTGTTAGGCAAGTGCTCTACCACTGAGTTACAACTGCAGCAGCTGGAAGCTTCTATTACTATATGACACAGCAACAATGAGTACAGAGCACTTGCCCACCGGCCTGGGCTGCTGGACATTCAAATGCCCTGTTGAAGAATGATGAGAATGTGCACTAAAATATTTTCAAAGAAGAAATTTTTAGTTTCTCATTCCGACTATAGAAAAACCTGAATAGTGCTGTCCTGAAATATATGGCTTTTATCAAAACAACTGCCAGTAAATCTACCTGAAGAATTACTTGCAAAACATACCATTAAGTAAAGAACGTAACCTGGGTTTTAGTTATTGGATCTGAGTCAATTAAATCCAAGGACATGTTAATAGTTTTAGTTTTGGAACAGGTCTTAATTCATTCTTTCTGATAAACAGTAAGCAATAAGATCAACTATATTCATCACAATATTATTCATCATAATAAAATATCACCAGCATATAGAAGATAATGGACCTTCTTATCTCTAAAGTATGTGTACAAATAACCCAAAAGTGGTTTCAAATTATTTAGATATAAGTAAAAAACTAGAAGTGCCACAATTAGGCTATTTTATGCTATTTGAAATACTTTCTGATCTGTCTGGCCAACAATTCAGTTAATCTGGACTTTCAAGGTCATGCAGTAGTCTTGTTTTTTAAGAACTGAGATTTTATACTTAACACATTCAATTTAACCTCAAACTAGTTTTTATTATCAAAACATGAAAAAACATCAAAGTTGCACATATCCTTTTTAAAACAAGGCTTATGTTTGCTACTTTTAAAATAAGAAAAATTTAGGGGCTGGGGAGGTGGCTCAAGCGGTAGCGCGATTGCCTGGCATGTGTGTGGCCCGGGTTCGATGTTGTGTCCACCGATAACTGAAAAATAAATATTAAAAAATTCTCTCTATCTCTCTGTTTAAAAAAATAAAAAAATGAAATAAGAAAAGTTTAGATTATTATTTTCAACTATTTATTTTGAGAAATTTCAAACCAATTGCTGTAGTTTGGATCTTGAATGTCCCCTGAAGGCCCATGTACTAAAGTTTTGGTCCCCAGGGTGGCACTTTTGGTAGATGTAGAACCCTCAGGAGGGGGGCTGAGTGGAAAGTCTTTAGGTCACTGAAAGCATGCCTTTGAAGGGCGTTGGGGAACCCTGATGCCTTCCTTGTTCTCTTTTTGCTTCCTGGTCATGAGGCAAGTGGTTTAGCTCCACCACACACCCCTGCCATATATACTGCCTCAGTCTAGGCCCCAAACAATAGCGCCAATTGATCATTGGTTGAAACTGTGAGCCAAAATAAATATTTTCTCTTTATAAGATGATAAGCTCAGATATTTTGTTATAGCAATGGAAGGCTGAGTAATAAAAAAAGAGAACACAGTATGCAGAACAAGCCACTCAGTTACAAACACTGAGTCAACACATTTATGCAGAGCTTCTTAGCAAAGCAAAAAGGGAAGAACAGCCTGTTATATAATCCTATTGCTTATGAAGAGAAAGAACATCTATTACTCAAGAGTAGCCAAATATTTCATGACTTTTTACTCAGAAAAAATTCTCTTGCATTTATAGAAGGACCACAGAGAAATATCACATACAACATCCCTACAGTAAATACATCAGTAAGTTCTGTGAGCTGTTTTCTAGAATCCCTCATGTAAGCAGAGGATACATGGTCTGCAGGTAGCAGAATGGAGGTTAAGAGCATAGATTCTAGCATCTAACTATCTAGATCTGAATCTGGCTCCATCACTTATTAATTCTGCAGTGACTCTGAGTGACTATTTAGCCTTTCCTCTTTTTTTGGTCCTGGTGCTGGGGATCGAACCCAGGGCCTTAAACATGCCAGGCAAGTGCTCTCCCACTGAGCCACATCCTAAGCCCTTCATTTATAAAATACTGTGATAAACAGTAGGGTTGTTGTATATGCTATCACTCTGTGGTCTTTCTATATGGTGCTTCTAAGGGCTGTTATAAAGTTTAAATGAGTGAATGCCCATAGCACATTTAAACTCAGGTAACAGAACAGGTACAGGAATTATGTACTTGGCACACAGCAAGCATCACTGTTACTGAAGTAAATGCCACAGTGAAAATACATTATGCTCATAGTCAGAGGACAGGCACTTAAATCAACTAAGGATTCAAGGGAAGGCTTTCTGGAGAGAGGATACCTGTGCTAGGTCTAAATTTCAGTCTGCTACTTAACAGTTTTGACCTTGGCCAAATAACTTAAATTTTACTTTCCATTTGCTAATACTGAGCTATGTCAATGGCTGATATAATAAGCTAATGCTTGAGAAATTAAATGTGACAATGTATAAAGATTAGATAAGCAAAATACCAAAACATGGCATTTATAACCATGAATGTTTCCTCTTGGAGCTTATGAAAAAATAAAGTACTCTTGCATTCAACTCTCATTTGTGGCCATTTTCTCAATTAAAAAAATTAAGTTTAAAAATTTTTTTTTAAATTAAACATTCAGATTACAACCAAACTACTTGGAAGGAATGTTAAGTGATATCACTGGCTTAGCACAGCTCTCCTGGCTTTTTTCATACTCATGCTTTCATATATTCTTGTCCATTTTTGAGGTGTCCTGTGTCCACCTGACAGTGTAGGAAATTCGTTCAATATCCTGACTTCACTAGGCAGAACGAAATGGTCCCTTTCTGAATCACTTTATATAACCCTCATTTTGCCTTGTCCATATTCTATTATAGCACCTGGTATACTGCATTATAGTTATATTTATACTTGATTTTTAAAAGAAAAATAACTATGGCAACTACTATACGTATGTGTTTCTCTCCAAAATCTGAGTTTCTATAACCGTGTGACAGTCATAGAATCTGGACAGAAGTTGGCATATCAATATATTGACTTTCAAGGTTTTTGAAATGATCTGAGAGGGATTTGATGTGTGCTCTCATAAGCAAATGAATCTAATACAATTTTATATTTTCTCCCTGATTCATCTCATCAATGCCTATGGATTAACTGAACAATTATAAGTTCATGTTCTCCACATCTGGTTTACTTTAACCCGAGTTCTTTCATAATTCATAGACCTGAAGAATTTGTTTATTGGACATTTCCCTCTAAAATGTGGAGGTTGCCTCCCTCAGGTCACATTCACACTATTATAGTTCATAGGGGGCCTTAATAAATTGTACCCTTCTTTTCTAGATGAAACCAACTGCCATCTTCATTACTGCTAGCTTCCCACTGTTGTAACACATGACTACAAACTTAGTGGCTTAAAACCATATAAATTTATTATCTTAAAGTTCTAGAGGTCAGAAGTCCTAAAATCAAAGTGTTGACAGGACTGTACTCCTTCTGGGAACTCCAGGGCTGAAGACTACATTTCCTTGCCTTTTTCAGGGGGATGTCTGTATACCTTGGATATCCCTAATCCCTGCACCTGAGAATTAAAACCAGGTCCTTGCGCTTGGGTGAGGCAAGCACTCTACCACTGAGCTACACTCCTAGCCCTCCTTGGATCTATCTTGGAGGTAGATAGTGAAGCATTTTCAAATCTGTTTCTCTGACCTTTGCTTCCTTCTCCTTTTCTGACATTTCTGCCTGTAGCCCAGCCATTCATTCAGTATAATCTCTCTGTATTTGAAGACTTTTCGCCACACAAGGTGACATATTCACAGGTTCTGGAGATTAGGATGCAGTCACCATTGTGGGCCCATTTTCCTGTATAACAGAATTGACAAAGCAGATATCTGATATCACCTGTGGACAGTTTCCTTATGTTATACTCTGGAAATAAACAGGCTTACTTGCTTTGTAGCTCTGGCCTAGAAAACTTTACCACTAGCCCTTGCCCCTGCAGAAGAGAGAAGAGAACACAAGAACAGTTCCCTGAAGGCAACTCTTTTCTTTAATTTTGTTTTAGTATAGGTGGACACAATAATCTTTATTTATTTATTTTTATGTGGTGCGGAGGATGAACTCAGTGCCTCACATGAGCTAGGCTAGTGCTCTAGCTGAACCACAACCCCAGCCCAAGACAACTCTCTTTTGAGAGAACTGTTTCTCCTTTTAAGTTCATCAATCAGGAAATCACTTTTCCAGGGAGGAGTGAGTTGGGGATCCAGGCAGGGAGAAGCCAGAAGTATTATACTAATGGATGCTACTCCCTGCGGAAGGAGAGTGGAATAAGTGTTTCCAAAACAAACAGATCTACATCTGAACTCATCATCCTATTTCACAGGTCATCGTCACTATGTAGTATATTAGACACATGTGGATAATACAGACTCATCTTTCTTCCCATCTTGCTAACTATTACCACTATCTACTCCAGCACCTACACTAGAATTATCCATTTATCCTCTACCCAGTGCTGGCAATTGTACCACCTAAACAGTGTTCCCTTCCTCTGCATTCCCACTGCCAATGCCTTAGTTAAGGTTCTCAACACTTCTTGTCTGAAGGACTGCAATGGCCTCAAACTGGGTATCCCTGGTCCAAGCCTTGGTTTTCCCGACTATTTTCATTTCCTGCATTTACTCCTTTCCCTGGAATTAAGTCTTTCCTAATTAGTCTCCCCAGATCCCTGCACCTTGGCCCCCACCATGCCCAGAAGGAAGTAACTTCCAAGGGGAACTGATTCTCCAATATCAGCCAGGCTCAGATCTAATTTGCTTTCAGATTTCAGTGAATGCAAAGTCCACACTCTCCACTTCTCTTGCGCTACTGTCTTCTCATGAGAAAGTAAAGTGAAGTGTGTTTCATCCTTTACATAGTATCTCTGCATACACTATTCCGTTTTAGCCTCAAAACTTTCTAGTGTGGGCAGGACGGATATTATAATTCCCACTTACAGAACGAGGACTCTGAGGCATGGCAATTCAAGGCTCGGGCCATCACACCCTGCTGCTAAGTTAACGAATGTCACTCAGCCCCTTCGGGTCCCACTCTTGGAGAACTTTCCAGCATCTGGAAGAACTTGCCGATCCGGTCCGCGCCGGTCCCGACGAGGCCATCGCTCAGTCCACAGGTGCCCTGGACCTTCCCCTCCGCAGTGACGCGCACCGGTGACGCTATACAGTGACGTGTGGTGACGTGACTTACCCGGAGCCAGGTGCCCGCAGGGTAGCCACACCCTGGGGGGCCTTGCTCAGCCGGGGCAGCGGGTCTGGGCGGTGGAGGAAAGCCGCAGAGTCCGCCCGAGGCCCCTGGGGGCCTAAACCCTGGCGGTTAGCCCACCCGAGAACTGTCGGTTGCTAAGTGACGCCAGCGCGCAGAGGCGCGTGCGCGGCCACGGCGGTGTGCGTGAAATCGGACGCGCGCCGCGGCGGCGGCGGCGGCAGCGAGGACGACACCGAGGACGGCACCGAGGACGGCAGCGACTTAGGGGGCGGTGGCTGCGAGGCGGGCGCGCAGCTAGCGGAAGAGGCGTCTGTGAGGGCGACTAGGTCGCAGAGGAACATCGTTGGGGTGAGTAGCCAGGGCTCCGCAGGGGAGGTGGGGCCTGGCCGCACCTGCTGCGCGGGCCCGGGGCGCGGGAACGCGCGCCCCCACAGTACCCGCGCGCGCCGCTCCCCGCCCTCTGCCGCTTTTTTCCGGGGGCGGGGAAGGAGCGCGGACCGGGGCTGACGAGGGTCAATTCCGGGACCCCGGCTCCTGGGAAGCGGTGGCAGGAGGTCGGGGGAAACTCCTAGTCCTGGAAGGTGTAGTAGGGAGTAGGTGTCTGGGTTTCAAGGTGGTTCGGTCTGGCTTCCAAACTGAGGAGTTCGAATTAGAAGCCCAGGTTCCCGAGCAGCCTCGCATCCTGCCTTAGGAGCGGGGGCGCGAGACTCTCGGGAGGCGACACCCGAGGCCCCCAGGGTTGGGGCTGGGAAAGTCTGGGACTGCTGGGGCCTGCATCTCCGAGTGGGAGCCGGTTGTTATGGAGAGAGTTGTGAATCAGTGCCTGCGTGAGCGTCAGACACACCCACGACCTGGGGAAGGCGACCTGTCAGTGTAGATACCTAAGGCCAACCTGTTGCCTGCACTTTCCAACCTCATGTGTGTGTCCACGTGCTTCTCTGGCATTTTATCTCGGTGTTGTTACAGATTTTGAGGCCAAGGGGCTGAAACGCATCCTCAGTTGTTACTTCCTTTCCATGGACTCAAATCTGCTGTTACTTTTCCCAGACCCATGTGTGCTTTTGTCATTATTAAGGCCAAGAAAGTATGGAGGCATTATTTTTGTTGTTATTTTTCCTCAAAGAAGTACAGGCTTGCTATTTACCAGGTGGAAAACAGATTCTGTTCAACGTGTGGGCTTGAATGGAGAAGCTGGAGTGTAGAGGTGCAGCGAATCATCAGCCCAGTGCTCTCTTCTCAGTGGGCCTAACACCTTCGTAGGTAGTTGTGTGGTGGATGTAGTTGCCATCCTTAGGAAGAGGGAGCATTGAAGATAGAAAAGAAGTCAGTTTTTTTCTGTAACTAAGGCATTGCCTATAATCTGTGAAAGATAGTCTACTGAAATTTAATCAATATTTGTGCAAGAAATTTGGGGAATATTAAATTTTCACTAAAATTTTGCAATTAAGTTTCATAACACAGGATCTGTAAAGTTATGTTACCCGAGATTCTTACGTCTTGGAACCAGTAAACCTTGTTTGGTAATACTTAAAAGTACTCTGAATTAAAACTTTCCTCTCTGAACTCCAGTACCTTTTAGAACAGGAATTGCCTGTTTTCTTCTTTGCCGTATCTCCAGCACATAGACACGTACTTGCCACAGAGTAGGCACATATTTGTTATGTATCACACTCTGCCTAAGTGGTTTATCTATACAGAAAACATTTTGTGCAGTCCTTTGTGTCCATGTGCCCTGTCTCTCCAGTGTTATGCTAGCTATGGGAGGAAGATTGTGGGGTTGCAAATAATATGAAGACCTGGCACTTTTCCTTCAAGAGCAAACAGTCCAGCTAGTAAAAGAAAGCAGGTATATAAAAAAGAATTATGAACCCAAACGAGGTACTATGTAAACTGTGATGTGAGAACTATAAGTACAGTGAAGATTTAGAAAAGATAAAAAATGTGGTCTGATTTACAGAACTCTTTGGAAGAAGTAAGATTTGAGCTGGTCTTTGTTATTTATTTATTTATTTTTGGTATTGGGGATTGAACCCAGGGGTCTTAGCCACCAAGCCACATCCCCAATCCTTTACATTTTTAAATTTGAGACTGGGTCTCCCTATATTGCTTTGGGTATCACTAAGTTGTTGGGGCTGTTCTGGAACTTGCAATACTCCTGCCTCAGCCTTTCCAGTCACTGGGATTACAGGTGTGCACCACCATACACCAAAGCTGATCTTTGAAAGAAGTGTAAAAATTTGAATTAGAAAAGAGATCCAAAATCATATGCTGAGAAGTTGATGTGAATTTGGTTATTGGGAGAATATATTGAGGAGACTTATATGACTAGAGCAGAAGTTCTCAGGGGACTAATGTAGAGATAAGGTTCAACAGGGTGGGAAGGGAAAGTGTTAAAGATAAGGCAGTCTTATCAATATCCCATTGATTAACAAGATAGAGCCTGCATGCAAGATGGAGTGGGGGTTGTATTAGAGTAAAGTTAGGATAAAAATAAGTGTTATTCTTAAAGGATATTCTACTCAAAGTAGTATCAGGTTGTTATATGCAGTTTAGATTTTGATTACTAATTGGAATAAAGGCTCACTAATGCGCATGTATTTTAGGTAGTCACCAGCACATGTCCCTGTTTCTAAAACCTACCTGATTGTACTTACGCTTCTATTGTAAATTTACTGAAATGATGTACCCAAAGTAGTTATCCAGCCATACTTAGGGACACAGTTTCACTTGGGATTATATCTCACAGTGGCCTGCAAGGCTTGTAGTTACTGCTGATCCTACAAAAACAGACAACAACAACAATAACAACAAATATTATTGGGAAAGGAGTCAATCTGAAGAAGTTTACTCAAAAATATTGATAAAAAGATTTGACAATAAAGATGATTCTGCTGAATATTGAACCTTTAGTCTTTATTTATGCCATTTTTTGTTATTGAAAATTCTTTTGAGTGGTGTGTAAACTTGCAATTGAATTGCTAACCAAGATGTGTAAAGTTTCACAGCAAATGTTGAATTATTTAATGACTCAGCAAATATTTATTGGGTGCTGGGTATGATTCGCCATGCTGTTGGGCATTGGGAAGATATAGATGAATAAGACATAGTATTCCCCCTGACGTGCAAGTGTTCATCAGAGATCCATCACTAGTCATCCATGTTGTGATTAGTTAAACAGTTTTGGAATGAATAAAGTGCTGGGGGAATAGATAGATCATTTGGGGATAATAATTGATAGTCAGGGAAAGCTTTAATAAAGAGAAGAGGATGAAGGTTAAGTAGAATTTTGCCACATGTAAAGGGAAAGACAACATTCCAGGCAGAGGGGTCAGCACAATGTTGCTGAAGATCAAAATCGAATGGTTTATTTTTTGAAATATCCTGAGTTGTTTCTTGTAGGCTTGATGTATGACAGTAATGATACTACTAAAAGTTATGAAAGAAAGTAAAGATATGTTTTTGCAGTCAAGTTATGGGGGGAATCTTCAACTCCATCCTGAAAGTCTAGGGATTGGCCCCTCTCTCCCATTTAATTGGCACAGAGAGCCATGGAAAGAATAGTAGATCAGAAAGTTAATTGACACTTGGGAGAAGATTGCATTAGAGTCGTCGGGGAGGGCATTTACAGGGTAAGTGAGCTATGTTGGTAGCCCACAGAAGGAGAATGGGAATGGATAGATTGCAGAGATATGTTGGATGTTAAATCTTTAAATTTTATGACATCTAGGGTGAGACAGAGGGAGAAGTCAAAGATGACATGTCTACTTTGAACAATTGGGTGATTATGATGACATTAAATTAAAAAATACAGGAGAAGAAATAGGTTTACATTGGAGTGAAGAAATGAAGTCATGTTAATTTAAAAGTGTCTGTGAGGAGTTAAGAGAGATCCACTAGGTAATTGGGGGTTTTAGGTAATTGGAGTTTACAAGATTACAAACAGTTGTAATGTAAATGACAACTGAGGCTGTGGGAGTAGCAACCTTCTAGAAAGCATATTGTGTAGTAGTTAAACTTCATGGCTTTTGAAGTTAAGACCTCAGGTCAAATCTCTTAGATCATTCTTGTCTAGATCAGTTGTTAGTCTGTTTTGTATTTCAATCACAGAATACCAGAGACTAGATAATTTATAAAGAACAGACATTTATTTCTTCACATTTCTGGAGGCAGGGTTGGGGAGAGTTTACAATAAGATAGATGAAATGGGAAAAACCCAGTGGAAAGAAACGGGAAGAAGTGTAATTACAGAAATGTGGATGTAGAGAAATCCAAATTTAAGGATTGTCTGCTTGAGTCTTACCCATCACATGTACTGAGGACTGTTGGCAAATATTAGCTCTATTCTCTAATAGAAAGTTGTAAGGGAATTTCACTATAGAAGGAAATCAAATAGTGGTTGTGCAAATTTACAAACACATTTGTAAAGAGATTTTAGGAGTTAAATTGAAGCTTCTTGACAAGCACCACCATGTTTCCTAGGTGCTTGTTCTTTCTCATTTATTTTCTCAGCTAGTATTCATTAAGCATTTACTATTTCCCTAGAAATTGTGTGAAATGCTGAGCACAGAGAAATGATAATTGCTCTGGGCACCTGAGACTACCTTTAGTTGGGAGAAATGTGTGTTCCCATGTATATTTTGTCAGGAGAAGATGCCTCACTTTATAAACTTAAGACTATAATGATATGAATAGATATTGAGGACTTGAAGTTAAATTCATTCAGTGTTATGTGTACAAGAGGCCATCTTCATGGTGATTATAGTGATATATAGATTTTTTTTTGCAATCAAATTTATAATTTCATAGAAGAGAAAACATTTGGAGTGCTATAAAGAATATGATAAGTCTATATAAGTGTTGACTAGGTACTTAATACTTGTGGAGTGGCTAGGTGGGTTGTTTTGATTTCAACTTGTAAGCCATTTGATGTTTTAGAAATTATAACAAGTTATAATTCCACTTTAACCTCCTGGCTGCCTTTTGCGTCTGAATATAAGAGGCAAAAATATTCTGATGGTATATGTCCTTGTTTTCTTGATCTGGGAGGTATACTCACCATGCATTTTTTTTAGCCAATGTTCTATTACTATAACAGATACCTGAGGTTAATCAACTTAAGAAAAAGTTTGTTTGGGCTAACAGTTTTAGAAGTTCCAAATTGGGTAGACCCATTACTTTTTTTCCAATGGAGGGGGCAGCACATCATGGATAGACAGAGACTAGGGTCCCAAAGTCCCTTTTATAGTAGGCTCCCAGTGACATAAAGCTTCCCATGAGGCTCCACCGCCTCCCAATAGTACCACAGATGGGAAACCAAGCCTTTAACACATGGACCTTTGGGTAATATT